TTTCGATTGGTTGATCAATGCATCGTCTCATTACTAGATTTGGAAATTTTGTGTAACAGGGGACGGTCCCTCCTGGACACTAGAACATTTAAAAAAATCAAAAGTAATGCAACGCGTGATTTATTTTACATTTATATATTTTATAACCGGAAGTATTAATGGATATTAAAAATTTAATACTGAAAAATAATGATAATAACAAATAAATTTTATTAATGAGGACGGGATATCTCTAAAATATTTAAATTTAAAGGATTTAATTTATGATCGCCACTATAATTGTATTTATTTTACCTCTATTTTAAATAGATTTTTATAATACAGAGATCAAGTTACAAAAAGAAACTATTTAATACCTAAGTAATAATTCAGTTGTTATTTTGTTTATTTGTTAAAAAAATTTGTTAATATTACAAAGTTTGAATAAATAAATAAATATACTCATCTGATAAAAATTTTATTTGGATATAAAGGATAACTGATGACGCGACCTTCAGGTGATCCGATTCAATTTTTTAAATGAGTTCAATTCCTGGCTAGATAGATCGATGACAATGACGAATCATGTTCATCATCAAAATTATTACTAAAAACAATTGTTACCAATAACCTTTTCATTACACAGACAGGTTTGCAGTATATATGATTACAGTAGCAGCTGTCCTAATAATTATTTTTTTTATAAATACGCCGTTAGAAGCTTCTAAATTTACCAATTGATTAAAAAAATTCAAGAATCCTATTATTTCGACTTCACAAATAATGAGTTCATCTAGCAATATCACTATTGAAGAATTTTGTAGGGATCAAGTGTAATAGGTCTTTTTAACGCTCGCTTTTCAATCATTTGTAACAAATTTATATTATTTTTTTTTAGATACATTAACAGAAATATTAACATTAACGGGTGGAATTTTAATATTTCTCAATGTGTGTAAATCATTTCTTTTAAATTATTTTTAAAGATAGCAAATTCTAACTTAATTGCTTATTATTTTGTTTAATCAGGGAAGAAATATAGCAACATTTATAGTTCTACTTAAATTATTAGATTTTGCTTCGGACTTTGCATTTTTAATGAGTACTATAAATGCTGATTCAGACTTATTTTTTCCAAGGTACTAATCCTAATTTTAAGAAATTATCATAAGTAGAGCGAATTCCAAAGTTCGAACGCTTTTGTTTCGTTTTTTCTTCAAGTTTATTGAAAAATCTACATTTCAATACTTTATTCAGTTTCATGACACTAGCCGTACCAGCAGTATTTAATCTTTTGTTTGTACTTGGAGTAATGATGCAACAAACTCAACAAACCAATAAAAGGGAATTTAGGTATTGGTTAAGGAAGAACATTATTATGACAACTATAATCACAATATTATCGATGTCAGATATTGTAATGTTGAAATTACTTGTAGATATCAAAATATTTGATCCGAAAGTAAGAAAATGGCTGCTCGGAGCTGGATTATTTAATATCATTAAAGATATGCCTCAATTTGTAATTTTTGTAAGTAAAAATAATAATATAAAAATGCGGGAATATAAAAAACTGGATTCAAATTAATCTATTTTTCTATAATTTTAGATACATTACGTCAAGAATGTCGGAATAAATTCGCTATTATTATTGACACTATTTACTAGTTGTACAAGTTTATTATTCAGCATAATCTATGAAATATACGAGATAATATCATTTGATTCAGAAATATTTCATATTCTTTAGAACTTTTCAATAACAAAATTTTCAATCGCATAAATTATGCAAGTAAATCAGAAATGTACTGTATGATTACGAAAATCAGACACACGTGCGGCATTAAGACCTCTGGATTTTTCGCATGGTGATTCATTTTATATTTTATTACTTTATAAATAAATATTCCTTTTTTTTGCATGAAAAAGTATTAGAAAACCAGATTTATTTTCTTTTTATTTTCGAATAATTAATAAAAATTTGGAAGATGAGATTTAATTAATTAAAGTATATGGAACAAAAGAACCTTTTTGAATTTATAAAATTTTACTGCGCCAGAAACTTTTATACAATCAACACAAAAATTGAAAACCGTTTGTCTCCTATATTCCTTTTCTTCCTTCTTACGCATTTGTTGCTTGTAATGGTAAAGTTAATTAAATCTAGGGCTAAACTAAGTCGAAATAATCATTTCTGTAATAACACTCGAAAAAAATGATTTTATAAGAAAATGATCATAGTGTAAAATATTTTATTTAGGAAAATTAGTTTCCCCTTAGATATCTGACCTATCTGGCCATAAAGATAAAGGTAAAGAAGGATGAAGTGTCTATTAATAAGCTAACGGTTGTTTTATAATTATTTTATGGTAAACAATAATTTATGCTTCATTATAGATTGATTTTGCAAAGCATAGTTCGTTGCTGTATTTGAATATTTTTCATAACTTGATAAAATGGAATATCAAATTACAGTCAACCCTCTCTAAATGCACCTCTTGGGACCATAGTGAAAATTTTAAAAAATGTGTATTTAAAGAAGGTGTGTATTTAAAGAGAAAATTTCTATATGAATTCTATATGCTTGGGACTGGACGAGAGCGTGCACTTATAGAGAAATATATAGTGTGGGCAATTAGAAAGGGTGCATTTAGAGAGGGTTGACTGTAGTATTTTTATAAAATTTTCCTTTCTAAGGAAATACGATTATGAACATCACGTGAATATCACGTGATTTTCGTAGCAAAGATGTTTCATATTTAAATTTTATTATTTAGTGAACATTAATATAAGCATGTTGATCCTTTATATAAGTTTTTCATATTAAATTTAAAAACCTTTAAAAATGGATCGAATTCTGACCATGAATAAATAATATTCGGGAACTAACTATTCACGAAAATTACTTGAAAAATGCCATTTGTGAAGAAAGATAATGTATAAAACCATCTTTGTCTAGTGCTTTTGATTTGTTGTAATTCCTCACCTTCGGATATGTCGATCAAAAAAGCAAGCAATAAAATCTCTGACTCCTCCGTCCATTTATTTTTTTTTTTTTTGGTTTCAATGAACCGAGAGATTTCGCATTCATTATTTTAGAGGAGATAATGTTAGATTCCTTCATAATGACGTGTAAACTTATCTTCATCCTCCCCAAAAGTTTTGGAAGTAACCGATTGATAACTATTATCAATTTGATCTGTAATGTAATGGGTAATGTATTGTTGTAAACAAATATGACTCGAGAATTTGCATAATATTTTGGTGTGATTTGAAGTCAATTCTTGCATATAGAAATCATCTTGAAGATTTTCGTCAAACGCAAAGTTGATTTGCGATTGGGATCATTCGTTGACTCAGAGATGAATTCATAGAATAAAATTAAGATTCCTTTATCGAAATAATCCAGATTAAACAAAATAATTCAACATCGAGAATTCTTTTTTCATAGCGTACGCTATGTAAACAGAAATTCATCAAAAATAAAACGTCAAATCTGAAGAGCTGGCTAATTCTAAACGTCCCAATTTTAATTTATATTGGATTATTTATACATGCAAGTTTGAGCAAACCCATAACTTTACTACTTTGCGTACAATTTATATCATATATATTTCAGATACTGTACACGAAAATATATTATTTTAAAATGAAATTCAACTTATCCGTAACGTCATTTGACAATTTGTAATTAAATAAACACATGATTTATTAAATCATTTTAAACAACAGTTTCAATAATTAGAACAAAGGAATACGCATTTCTCATGAACTTAATACAAATACAATCATCCAATTAAGACCATCAAGAGGATAATGCTTGCCTTCACAAAATGAAATTTGCAAAGAAGTTTCATGTAAAAAATGGTCTGCGCGTACTTTCATGGCCCGCTTAAAGAGATCTCAATCCTATTGAGAATATATGTGCTGAAGTCAAAGCATTAATGAAAGAAAACTTACCTTTCAACCTTGCTCAACTCAATCGATATGTAATAAGGGTATGAAAATAAATTTTAATACAATCTATCGAAAATTTGGTCGATAGTATACCACAGCAATTCAAGCTGTGATTAAAGCAAATGCAGGCCTGACCAAGTACTAATTATTTAGTACCAAATGTGTAGCATATCGTACGTTAATAAATATTAATAAAATTTAAAATTTTAAGTTTTATATTGAGCCAAAAAGCGTCTGAAGACTTTTGACGGGGTCTGTAGTTTTACATATTTCTGTAAAATATATGATACTTTTAGATATTAAAGATATAAATATAAGACGAAAATTTCCTATTTTTAAATAATAGATAATAACATTTGTGATCAATATTTTGCAGTAATAAAATATTCTTATAAGCAACATTTATTCATATTTTTTCTCTTAAATGATTTTATTAAAAAAATAATATTAAGTAATTAAATCTTAAAGTTAAATTATTTGTTTTTTCATATAATTAAAATTATTTTCTGGATGTTAAAACAGATGTATAATATATAACTAGGTTCATGATTATGGTTGGCCAGAGGCTAGACTAAATATTTAAAAGTAATACATGTATTTTATTTAATTTTTATAATTATTAATTTTTACTAGTATATATATATTGTATATGTAAAGATTATGATATTTATTAAATTGAAAGTGGTTGTAATACTTTTGTTTTAGATGAGAATATTCTTTAATTATATTTGGATCTACTATAAATGAATTTTTATCTAAATTTATTATTTAAACATGTTTCTATTTTGAATATATACTAATTGCTATATAAGATGAATTATTTATTTTTTATTTATTTTTTTTTAATTTTAGATTTGTTTTTTTAATTTAAGTTTATATTTTTTTTAAATTATATTTTTTTTTATTTTAACTAGCATTTTTTAAATTTTGGTTTCAGACTTTTTTTATCTTTATTTTTATATTTTCATTTTTTTATATTTAGCTTTTTTTTAAGCTTTTATTTTTTATTTTTTTTATCATTTATTTTTAACTTTCTTTTTTTATCTTTCATTTTTTCAATCCTTTATTTACTTCTTTTTTATCTTTCTTTTTTAATCTTTCTTTTTTAATTTTTAATTTTTTTAATATTTATTTTTTATTTTTTATTTTTCTTTTATTTTTATTTTAATATCTTTTTTATTTTGCTTTTTTATTCTTTTTTATTTTATTTTACTTTTATTTTTATTTTATTTTTTTTATATTTTTATTATGATTTATTTTATTTTTATTTATTTTATCATTTCTTTCTTATTTTTCTTTTTTTATTTCATTTTTTATTTTGTTTTATTTCATTTATTTATTTTTATTTTTTTCTTAACATTTATTTCATTTTTTATTTATATTATTCTTTTTTTATTTTGTTTTTTATTTTATTTTTTTTAAAATAAATAAAATAAAAAAAAAAATGGATATGCAAAAATCAGTCTAAAATTAGCAAATTATTAAAAATTAATCTAAAATTTGATCTAGCTTATTTATAACTAATTGGTATATTTATGGCTAATTAGTATACATTAAAAATTAGTTAATTTAACCTAGCTTATTTGACATCTGATTTACATCTAATTAACATATATTGAAAATTAACTAAATATATTAAAATAAAATAAAATTCAGGAGAAAATATACTAGTTACTGATATTTTATAGGATTAACAGCTAAATTAATTCGCTAAAAATTTAATTCAGTCTAGATTATACGTTTAGAATAATTGTATTATTCTAATTAAATGATAATCAAAAGTCATTTAATTAAAATGATTATATCATTTCTATTAATTGAAATCAATAAATTGTTTAATTAGAATGAATATATTATTCTAATTGAATGATAGTTAAAAATTATTTGATTAAAATAATTGTATTATTTTTATTAAACAAAACTAATGAATTATTCAATTGGAATAATTGTATTATTTCAATCAAATAAAAACTAAAAATTATTTAATTAGAACAATTATATTATTTCAATCAAATAAAAATTAAAAAAATCATCTAATTAAAATAATTATATCATTCTAATTGAATGATAATATAAAATCATTTAATTGAAATAATTGTATTATTCTAAATAAACAAAACTAATAAATCATTTAATAAAATGATTATAACATTCTAATTAAATAAAAATTAAAAAAATAATTTAATTAAAATAATTGTATTAGTTTAATCAAATGATAAATTAAAAATTATTCAATTAAAATAATTAAATCATTTAACTGAATGATAATACAAAAATTATTCAATTAAAACAATATTTTATATTATTTCTAAAAAATAATTCTTTTATCATTTTAAAGAAATGATGTTATTATCATTTCTAAGAAATAATATTTTTTATCATTTTTTTAAAATAAGTTCTTTTATTATTCCTTCAAAATACTTCTTTTATTATTTCTTTAAAATGATTCTTTTATTATTTCTTTAGAATGATTCTTTTATTACTCCTTTAAAATAATATATTTATCATTCCTTCAGAATGATTCTTTTATCATTTTTTAAAAACAAATTCTTTATTGTTTCTTATAAATAATTCTTTATCATTTCTTAGGAATAATATTTTTATCATTCCTTAAAAATGATATTTTTTATTTCTTAAGAATTTGATGTTTTTATTATTCCTTTAAAAAAATTTTTATCATTCCTTTAAAATAATTCTTTTAATATTCCTTT